AGGATAAACATCCCAATAAATATTATCCTTACTTTAAATCCTGGATAAAGGAAAGCACTTGACAGAAAAAAAAATTAGACTCTGCAACTACCATATATGTTTCTAGCCTAGCATTTTCAGTGTGATAGCCAGAAAATTTGAGAGAAGTAGTCAGAACACATAATGGAAAACTCTTTTAGAAGATGCTATTTCATATTTTGAGAGTTCTTAGTGCAAATCAGTTGGAGTTCCATTCAGTGTAAAGAATATGTATTTGAGTTCCATGATGAAAAGGACTAAGAGTTGAAACTATTTTCCCAATATACTAGGGAATAAATAGCGGGCTTCATTTTTTCGTGTATGAAATTAATTTTGAGGCTGAATAACAAAATCTGTGTTTTGTGTCTGTTAGAGGTTTGGAAAATTTCAGTCAGAATAGATCACTCTTTGAGGCTGCAAATTATTGGTCCATTCCAGTAAGTCAACAGAAATCAGACACAATTAAAAATGCAATGCATGTAAAGCCAAAAGAGTAAATATAAATCTATAATAAATGACCAATAAGTATATTAAATCGTCCTGGAAAAGGTCTCTGTATGTGGTTACCAAAGGTCAGCACTGACTTGATGGCACATAATTGAAGTGTATTAAATAATATAAAATAGTAGTGAAACATAATTCTTCAAAATTCACAAAAAGACATTTTAAAGTTATAAATATAGCACACATATTAAAATGTGTAAAGACAAATTCCACATTATTTGCCAGTGGCAAAAATTTCAGTTATGCATTGTGATCCATTTCTCATCTTCTTCAGTAATCTGAGCAATAATTTGTAAAAAAAAACAAAAAACTCAAATCTTCAATTAATCCTACTTTGCAATATATATTGAACATCACAGATTGCTTAAAAAGTAACACCATTACAGTAATACAAATCACTCTGTCCATGATTTCTTTTTCTCAGATCTATGTTTTGGAGGAATAATCACCTGATGCGGTCAGCATGAACATTAACAAAAAACAAGTTTGCAGGCAGATGCAGTTGTATATTTTACTCTCAGATACAAAAAATAATGTAGGCAGGTGCATTTAAAACTGCACTGCACTTGCATACCAGCCTGTGCAACCAGGGAAGATGTTTAGAAACAGGATTTACAGGATTCAGATTCAGCAATCAACCGCTTCCAACAAACTCCTTAATTTAAGAAAATGTATGGAAACTTCATAAACAGTTAACAATACAGGTAGTCTTCAATTTATGACCACAATTGGGATGAGAATTTTTGTTGCTAAGCAAGGTGGTTGTTATTTTACAATTTTTTTTGCCACAGTTGTTAAATGTTAAATGAATGATTCGTTAAATGAATCATTGTAACTGTTGTGTGAATTATGCAGTTGTTAAGCAAATCCAATTATGTTAAGTGATTTTCAGAAGTGGTTTCAGTGGTGTGCCACTGTCTCCTTCCTAGGGCTGAGAGAAAGTGACTTCCCAAGGTCACCCAGCTGGCTTTGCATTTAAGGCAGGACTAGAATTCAGGTTCTTCTAATTTCTAGCCTGGTGTCTATACCAAACTGACTCTCTGTAACTACAGGTAGTCCTCGACCTAAAACCGCAATTGGGACCAGAACTTCTGTTACTAGGCAAGTGAGTTGCGCCCAGTTTTATAATCTTTTTTTTTTTTTTTTTTTTTGCTATAGCTGTTAAGAAAATCACGGCAGTTGCTAAATGAATCATGCAGTCATTAAGTTAATTCACTGACTTTGTTTGTTGGAAGCTGGCTAAGAAGGTCACAGATAGTGATCACACAACCCCAGGATGCTGCAACAATCGTAAATACACGCTGATTGTCAAGCGCCAGAATTTTGATCATGTGACTGTGGGAATGCTATGATTCCCCTAAGTCAGGGGTGGGCAATTAATTTCTGTCGGGGGCCACATGGAAAATCAGATCTGCGTTCAAGGGCCGAACCAATTTTATAAAAGACCATTATAGATAGATAGATAGATAGATAGACAGATTCTTCCGCTACGAATAAACGACTGTGTGTGTGTGTGTGTGTGTGTGTGTGTATGTATGTATGAATGAATGTACCCCCTCAGTTTACACAAGTTGGCCACTTATAAGATAAAAAATAAATAAACGCCCACCCCCCAAAACATAACTCCTCCGGTGCCCACGGATAAACTGTGAACCACCAATTAGTAGCAGGCCTGACCCTCCCTCTTGAACCAACGTCTAATTGGGGGGAGCAGACCGGCCTTCAGTCTCTTGCGAGAAACTGCTGGCTAACCCTGCAAACCGCTTGCCGAGGTGTGTGTGTATGTGGGCTTTCGCCTGCCTTTCCCCCCGCCCGCCCAGCGCCCATCCCGCCGCTGCTTTTGCCGTTAAACCGCGAGTCCTCCCGGGCGCTTGGGAAGCCTGCTCGGCAGAAAACATCTGCGCGCCTCTCCCAGGACCTGCCCACTCCGCCCAGCCAGGACGTCCACCACCGAGCGCGCCTCGGTCTGGCTGCGAGGTCCCGGCACCAGCGCGCTGAGGGCGCCGCTGTTCTCTCCCATCTTACCGCAGGGGAAGGCCGTGCGTGGAGGGAGGTGTGAAGCGCCTGCTGGTGCTCGGGTCTACGGGAATACGCATCACAACAGCGGGCGTTAGGGGAGGAAGGAGGCGGCGGCGGCGGAGCTGCTGCTGTTGCTGCTGCTGCTGCTGGCTGAGAGACGAGGGAAAGGCGTGCCCAGGGCGCAGCGAGCCAGATGCCCAAGAGCGCACGGCGGGCTGCTCCGAAGCCAGGCGCGGGAGAAAACCGCCCCAGCCCCCCCCCCCGCGCAGGTCAGGCCCTGGCCGCTCCAGCCGCCAGTCGGTCCTTGGGGCGCAGCTCTTCCCGTGGCCCCGTTGCACTTCTCGTGCTCCTCGCCGCCGGCGGTGCTCGGGGCTCTGCCTGAGCCGAGCGGCGGGAAGAGGCGCGTCGAAGCTGCAGCGGCCGGCTCAGATCTCTTGGTCCCGGGGAATCCCCCTCCACCGAGGTGCCTGAGCTGTCCCGTGGCACTGGGTTCCAGAGCGCAGCCTCAAGGTCTGCCGGCCGCGGTGGGGAGCCCGGAGCTGCTCAGCGGGCAGTTGGCCGAACCCCAGAGCGCTCCTTTGGCGCCGCCTCCCGCACCCCCTTCCAAATCAAACGCGGCTCAGGCGAAATCAAGCGGGGCTCCATCGGTGGCAGCCGCAAGGGCAGCGCTCGGGGATCCTTCTCCCGCAGTCACGACGGAGGGGCGGGGAGGCGAGCCGGCAGCATCCCGCGCTCGGCTCGGCGGCTTCTCTCCCCGCGAAGGGACTGCGGCGAGACCTCAACAGGTTTCAGCTCTCTTCGCTCCGCCGGGCTCCTGCCCCCGTTTCCTGCTCCGCCTGACAAGCCCGCCAGGCGCCCTGCTTGCTCTCCGCCGCCCGCCCTCCGCCTGAACCGCCTCTTCTCGACGCGTCTGAAAGCAGCCGAAAAGTGGCCGCGGTTACATACGGACCAATCTTCGGCGGGCCGGATTAAAAAGACCAACGGGCCGGATGTGGCCCGCGGGCCGTAGTTTGCCCACCCCTGCCCTAAGTGCAAGGACTGGATGTAAGTCACATTTTTCAGTGCCATTGTAACTTCAAACTGTCGCTTCAAACTGGTTGTCAGTCAAGAACTGTATCCAATAGCAATTTCTCTGAAGAAATAGCAATTTTATTATACTGTAATTGTTTCACTATTAAAAAGCTGGGTGGGACGGAGAAATGATCATTTGTAAAATTTGCATAGTAGCACCTTCTTTTGTTTGCCCTTTTTGTTAACAAGAATAGTTTTACCTGTAGTGTAACAGGACTGATACTTTAAATTCTTTCATGATGTCCAATGACAGATCATTTTTGACATCACTCTTGCAGTTTTACCATTAGGAACCTAGATAATTGCCTTGAGAAAATGGAGCTTCATTCCTACAATCCTACGACTTATTACAGATTCGTAGTTCCCTCATATTAAAAATACTGGTTTTGCATTGAGAAGAATTGAATTTATCTCTCCGTAGCTTGGAGATAGATTGTTGTACGTTGTATAATCACTTTATAAATATGTGCGTTTATCTGTGCTGTGGTGATCACAAAAAACCCAAAACTGACTACCTTCAGAAGGGTAATAAATAACGCATGGTATTTTGTAATCCAGCTCTCTTCATTCTGTGGCCAGCATTGAAGATTAAGGCCTGCCAAAGCAACCTGAGAGTAGGATAAAGCAGAACTGAGATTTTGCTAGGTTTTACAATATGTCTATTTCTTGAAATACTGAATCCTAAATGAATACTGTGATTCCTCAACAACATGTTCCCACTCAGGAAGGAGGAGGGAATGTGTAGATTACTTGAAATGCCAGAATGTACCTAGTATCTGTGGTCCAGATGTTTTCAAGGATCTGAGCTTTTCTGCTGCTTCACTATTGGTGATTGCTAAAAGGTTAAGAAAAAAACCTTCCCAACAATAAAAACACTGGAACAGAGGGACTATTTCTCAGAGAGATGCTGGGCAGCCTTTGACTGGATGAAAAACTCGGTCGGGAAAGTGGATAGTCATCTGTCTGGAATGCTTTAATTAGAATTCCTATACAATGCTGAGCAGGGGATTGGAATCAGGGACCTCCTTGGCCCCTTCCAAATAACAGTTGCATTAGTGCAGTGTATGTGTGTGTGTGTGTGTGTGTGTGTGTGGCTTACGTCCCACAGCTTATTGCACATTTTTGTAGATGTATTTCTGGCCCAAACTGGGAAGCAGCCAGACCTTGCTGCTCAATATCTGTCTATTCCCTCACCCCCAGATTTCTCATTGTCTTTCCTCACCCCCACAACCTTGTGCCATGTGATCTGTTCAAACATGTCGTTGATATTGATGAACTGCACTCCTAAAAAGTGCTGTTACACAATAGCATCCCGACTCAAATTTCATCTTTAGCTAACAATTATTTTTCCCCTCCTTTCTCCATCCCCTTTTTCCCCATCTTTGCAGCTCAGCTGTAGAAAAATATGGGAGACGACAGGCCGTTTGTGTGCAGTGCCCCTGGCTGTGGACAGGTAAGTTTACAGTATACTCTGCTGTTAGTATATCATTATGAATCAAAGTGGCTGTTTTATCACCAAGGCAAAGAGTTTAAAGCCAACGTCTTATGTGATCACTGGAGGTAATCAGATTGGAAGATTTGCAGTGTGTAAATCCAAGTTATGAGCAAGTGCAAGAGCCCTGAGGTAATGAAATTTGCCTGGCATGCCTGGCGTTTTGCTGGTATTTTCTCTCTTCTCTCTACTTCTGTCACATCCAGAAGTAATCACTAAATATAGAGGGAGGAAACTTTATACCTGATATCTAGATAATATACTTTGATAGCATAGTACGATTTAATAACATTTCTTGGTTTGTTATTTCCCCCCAAACATGTATTTATTTCTCAGGAAAAGCTTAGAATGTCTTTAAACCTATTTTCAAATGTGCATATTGTTCCTCAGCAACACTTACTAAAATTTCTTTTTATAATAACATATATATTATTAAAAAACACAAGGATAAAAACAGAATAAAAAAAATAAAAGCACCTAGCCATGTAATCTGTACAAAGATACATTTTGGCATAATCCTTTAAATATCAGCCTATTTAGTTTTAAAAACAGTACCTTAATAGTTTAAGAAAATAAGTTGACATTTGCTCCTGGATGAACGCATTTATTTTCAAATGGAGGAACAAATAAATAAGCCTTGTTTACATTCAGGGTGTATGATTGAAGGTCTGTACTAGCCATGGAAATAATCTTTGCCATTAAATGGCTTCAGATGGACAAGTAGTACACTGAGATTCAACACTGCAGTATATACAGGTAGACCTTGACTTACAACAGTTCATTTAGTGACTGTTCAAAGTTACAACGCCACTGGAAAAAGTGACAGGACCATTTTTCACACTTACCACCATTGCAACGTTCCCACGGTCACATGATCAAAGTTCGGATACTTGGCAACTAGTTCATATTTATGATGGGTTGCAGTGTCCTGGGGTCATGTGATCACCTTTTGTGACCTTCTGACAAGTAAAGTCAATGGGGAAGCCAGAGTCACTTAACAACCATGGTACTAACTTAACCATTGTTGTGATTCATTTGTTGTGATTCATTTGACAACTGTGGCCAGAAAGGTTGTAAAATGGGGCAAAATTCATGTAACAAATGTTTCACTTAGCTACAGAAATGTTGGGCTCAATTGCTGTCACAACTCAAGGACTACCTGTATATAAAAATTATAAGTTATGACCACAATTTGGACTGGATTTCCATCATAAGTCGTTCTGGTCATAGCTCAAGTCATACCTGATTTTATAACAATTTTTGTGGTGGTTGTTAATCAAATCACCATGGTCCTTAAGTGAATCCAGGTTACGCTGTGGCTGTTTTTTGCTAGAACTCAGCAGAAGTTGCAAATTATTACCACATGAGGCTGCTGACTCTGCTGCCAGTCATAGATGCGAGCCATTTGTCAAGAGCCAAATTGTGATCATGTGACCGCAGGGCTGGTGCAGGGATTGTAATGCAAGTACAGGTCATAAATAACTTTTTCCAAAGTCGTAACTTTGAACTGTCATTAAACAGACAGACATAAGTCGAGGGCTGCCTCTAAGTCCAAAGGAATTGTCCATATGAGTGCTTAGCTGAAGTGCTTAATTAATGCTTAACTTGAAAAGATGCTCGTACATGAGTGTATCAGGTTCTGTAATGAGATGCACAATTCACTTATTATTATGTATACTTGTAAAAGTGAAACAACAAAGCAACTCTAAGCTATTATCTGCACATATCCATTGAAATAAGTGACACTTACTCCTGAATTAACATCAATCAATCTGGACAGCTTGCATGGTGGAACAGCTGACGTTATGCTATATTTGTAAGGCTCTGAAGTTCCTTGTGGAATGCAAACAGATACTTTTCATATAGGTGGTCAGAGCAAGGTAAAGACCTCTATAGAGGATCAAAACAATTGCAACAAAATTAAAGAGATCTTGATGACCTGTTTGTCCAAATTTGAAACAATTTCTTGCTTAAAATTGTCTGGTGAACTTTTTATTAGGATCCATTTTTCTGTGCTGGTGATAAAGAAGGTATTAGAGCAGTACACTTAAGCTTTTTCGTAGATTGGTTAATTTGTAATCCACATTAACAATATGTTATCATTTCTGGATTAGTTACCATTTTCAGTCTTTCGAAGCCATCTTATATGATCAGCTGCAGATGTTGATATTTGAACTGAATAATTTTAATTACCTGTCTGAAGTTTGTTTCTTTTCACTTCACACTCCTGTTTTAATATTTTTTTCCTTTTTAATACTTTTCTCT